GGTCTCGCTCTTGCTCAGGCTGGTCTCGAACTCCTGAGCTCAAACAATCCACCCGCCTCGGCCTCCCAGAGTGCTAGGATTACAGGCATGAGCCAGCGCGCCCAGCCTCAAGGGATCATTTTTTTAACACCCGTGTACAGGCTGTTTCATAGCTTCCGTTCCCAGGAATGCATCTTTCTTGCTAAATTGAATATTCCTGTACCAACTTACACTCCTGCCAACAGTGCACAAAATGTTGGCTATCATCAATATTTAACATTTTATGCCAATAGAATGTACAAAATTGTCTTATTCTAGCTTGCATTCCTGATTAGTTAGGTTGAGGATATTTTCATATTTTTTTCTGCAAACTATCTGCTTGTATCCCTTGTACATTATTCTATTCTTTCTTTCATATTTATAGAAGTTTTACAAATACTTTGTGGATATTAATTTTTGTCTGTTTTCCATGTTATATCTTCTCCCTATCTGTTTCACACCTTTAAGCTTTGTTTTGGATATCTTTTATCATATAGAGTGTGACCTATGCAGGTTCTATTTGTTAGAATTTATGGAGATTTTGTTTCCTAGTATATGGTCAAATTATAAAAGGGTTAAATGTTTGAAAATAATATATATTCTGTCTGTTGGTTACAAAGTTCTACTTACATTTATTAGATCAAACTTATTAAACCGTTGCTCAAATCATCCTCTTCCTTCCTTGTCCATCTATCTATCTGCTAATCTTGTGAGAGAGTATATTACAGTCTCCTATTCCATTGGCTCATTAGGTTCTCATTGTGTCTAATCGGTTTTGAATCTCAAGGTTATGCTGTTGGTTACTTTTAGTACATGATTGTGAAAATGTCTTTGTGAATTTTAACTTTTATCAATATAAAATGTCTCTTTCTGCTCCCATCCAAAAAAATTAAAATAAAACCAGAAACCAACCAGCTCACAGTGGCACCGTGGGAAGGCAGAGCGACAGTCAAAAAGTCTGGGCTCTGATCTCGGCTCTGCCACTCTGTGGGCTGCATGACTAGGCAAATTGCTTAACTGCTTCATCTTTAAAATGACTAAATTTTAAGGGTTCCTTCCAGCCTCAAAACTCTATGATCAGAGCACCTTGGGTAGACTGTCGGGTGGGAAGAATAACTTACCAGAGCTGTAACTTCCAGTTAGCATCCGACTGGCTGGCAGTGAGGGTGGAGAAGGGAAAGGGTGAGTGGAGGAAGGGAGAAAGAGAGAGCGTAAGTCACTGGCTTTTCCCAAGACAGCTAGGTTGGACAGTGCTCCAGCTGCCCTCCCATGTGTCCAGGATGTTCGAAGGCAGAGGGCAGCCCAAAGGCTGTTAAGACTGGATGTCTGGGAGCATAGGGAGGAGCCAAATGCTTTAAGAAGAACTTTAGAGTCTCTTGCAATTGCTTACTGACACAGCATAGTTTATAGGCCTTTGCTCTTAGAAGGATGGGTGAAGACTTCTGGAGACCATCTTGAACTTTGACCCTTTTGGGCAGTATACCAGGCTGACAATCAGAGCACTTTAGAGAAAAGGTCCTGTCCATTATCAATTTTTCTAGGACTCCAGTCTTCCATACTTCCTAGTCAGAAATTTCCTACTATATAATCTGGACAGCTCCTGGTGCAATATTAGTCATTCTCTTTATGTGAAAAAATAGAGCAATAGAGCCCCCTCTTCCTGACAAGAATGTGTCAGACCACTATCATCCTTTCCTGGAGCTGCTTCTCTTTGTGTTTTTGTCTCCTTTGCACAGTTCTTTAGGTTAGTGAGGATGTGAATGAAGGGTGAGGTATGGATGTGGACAATCGGATGCAGTTGGAAGAAAGAAAGGAAACCAGTCGGGGAGAGTTTACCTGCAGGTGTTAGCTGGGCCTGGAATGGGGCTTGGCCAGTTGGAGGGATGCTTCCAAATGCAGAAGAGCTGGGGCTACTGCCAAAGGCATCAAAGTTGGCAAAGCCCCCATGGGAAGGTGTCTGGCCTATAGGTGGAGGAAATAAAAGGTTATATATGTAGAAAATGTAATGCATATCTACATGTCTACCAATTCTAAAGGGCAAGGGAGACCCTTCTGGGACATCTGTCTTTCCATAGTGCCTTCTTCAGAGGGAGATGGCAGCTGGAGAAAGGGACATCCAGAGGCCTCCAAGTCACTCCCTGCCATCTTTTATCCTTACTCCGTGAGGCATTAACATTTTTTTCAGGGCCTAGTTTGGGGCAGAATCATATGAAAAAAATTTTTTTGGTAGGGGAAGGAGGTTAAAAAATAAAAAGGGAATATAGGTACCATTTTGCTAACCCCTCTATTGGCTATTGCTAATCTTTGGGAAGGAGGCAGGGGATATGAACACATGATAATTCCCCTCCTCCCATTTTAATAGAGAGAGAAAGCAATAAAAAGGCTATTTGCAGTCCGGGTGCGGTGGCTCACACCTGTAATCCTAGCACTCTGGGAGGCCGAGGCGGGCAGATCATTTGAGCTCAGGAGTTTGAGACCAGCCTGAGCAAGAGCGAAATCCCATCTCTACTAAAGAATAGAAAGAAATTACTTGCACAACTAAAAATATATAGAAAAAATTAGCCAGGCATGGTGGTGCGTGCCTGTAGTCCCAGCTACTTGGGAGGCTGAGGTGGAAGGATTACTTGAGCCCAGGAGTTTGAGGTTGCTGTGAGCAAGGCTGACGCTATGACACTCTAGCCTGGGCAACACAGTGAGACTCTGTCTCAAAAAAAAAAAAAAGGCTATTCGCAGTGTTCTGAAAGGAAGTGCTAGGAGCCCCCAACTGCAATGCCTTATGGTCAAACCCCCAAACATAATCCTGCTGTACTTATTTGACCTCAGTCCTCCTAGCCTTGCTGCTTCAGAATGACTATCATGTCTGCATGCATGTAGAGAGATCTAGAGCCATGGGAAACTTGGCCACCCCCAGGGGCTGAATTTCTTGTGCTATCAGTACATATGTTGTAGGGAGGTTCTCATCCCAAGTGCCACTTACCTCCAAAGGCTGGGAATGCAGCAAAAGCTGGTGCTGCCTGGGGAGCAGCAAAGGGGTCTCCACCAATGTCGGCCAGCAGGTCAGTACTTGCTTTCTTGACAGAAGAGTGGGGAGGTGGCTGAGAGCTCCGGGCCTGGGACGTCCGAGCTTGAGACTGACTGACAGACTTGGAGAAGAAAGAATTGTATATAGCACTTAGAATCCCAGACATGACCCAGGCCCCTCCACAGCTCCCCAGGCTGTCCCCAGGTAGGCAGGTGGAGAGAGAAGACAGTGAGTGACTGCCCTCAACCAAGAGGATTCCCAGGCAGAAGCTGCCTTAGCTCCTCTCATACCTCATATCACCCTTGTCTTCTCAATATACCAGCTATCAGAACCACACATTTTAGAGCATACGAGCCACGGTAACCCTAAAATATACAGGAATGTTGCCTAAAAGTGCCCCTGGAGCTGTCACCTCTTCATCTTTCCCAGGTATTGGATGTAGTATCCTGGCCCCTTCTGTGTTTCCTTGGTGGGAATGGTCAGATTTGGAGTTGATACTCTGACTTCTTCCAAAATACATGAGGTTCAGAGGTGATAAATGCAAGATATAGGTAACAGCAGGGCTCACAGCTTCTGTACCGTTGTCTGCTAAGTCCAGGGGTTTCATTTAGGAAACTGAGACCCCTGTCTCCCAAATCTCAACATAAACATGAAGGGCAGATCTGAGAGTTACCTGGCTCGAAGTGGATGCAGCAGCTGAGAGAGATGACACAGGATCACCTGGAAGTGTCCGCAGGAGCTTCCCTTCTGATATGGAGGCCTGAACAGGGGTGGAGGTACTGCCTTTGGAATAAGTGGGCCCCTTGATTTGGTCTGGGGGGACATACCTTTGAGAAAGAATAGTTAGGCTGTAAAGAGAGGGATAAAACCTTGGACCAGGTTCAGCCTAGGTGCTTGGGAAAACACAGGTTACAGGAGTCAATGTCCTTTCTCATTTTTTTCCCCATTAATACCCTTTTTTGATGGGAATTTAGTGACCTAGCAAAATTCGGCCTATCGTGAGCATTCCTTTGAGCACTTGAAGACTATTTTTTCAGCAGGAGCGTTCAGTTCGCTCTGGTTTGTGCCTATTTTTCCTTCTTCTCCCCCTCCTCTTTTTGACACCTCAAACTGTCTGGGTTTCAAGCAATAACACATGCAATAATGCCGACGGACAGGTGATCTTATTTTCCAACTTCCTACTCAAGGTCCCCCTTTTTATTTCCTGGGTGTTTCTTCAGATTCCTCTTTTTCAGTCGCACTGAAAAGGTGTCTGCCACCTCATCCTCTAGCTGCTCACAATCTGTACTTCTATCTGCTAGCTCCTCATGCTTCTGATAAAATCCCCTTCCCCTACTCTGGAAGTATCATCTTAATCCTGAGGACATCCCTAGGAGGGACTCCAAAATGTGGTTTTATCCATGTCAGTCTCCTTGTTCTCTGCATTCTCCTCTCCACATTGTAGTTACTCCCAGTGTGCACACACTCCAGAGATCAAACAACAGTAAGTGACACTTGGGAAAGAAAAGGCAAAGGAGAATGGAAATGCTGTTTTCTCCATCAGGAAAACAGAATACAGTTGTCCCTTGGTATCCTCGGGAGATTGGTTCCAGGATCCGCCCCAACCCCCAGTGGATACCAAAATCAGAGGATGCTCAAGTCCCTTATATAAAATGGTGACGTATTTGTATGTAATTTACGCACATCCTCCCATATACTTTAAAACGTCTCTAGGTTACTTATAATACCTAATACAATGTAAATGCAATGCAAATAATTACTGTATTATATTTTAAAATTCTTATTACTTTTTATTGTTGTATTGTTATCTTTTAATTTTATTCCCCAAATATTTTTTTTTTTTTTTTTTTTGAGACAGAGTCTCACTCTCTTGCCTGGGCTAGAGTGCCATGGCATCAGCCTAGCTCACAGCAACCTCAAACTCCTGGGCTCAAGCGATCCTCCTGCCTCAGCCTCCCGAGTAGCTGGGACTACAGGCATGCGCCACCATGCCCGGCTAATTTTTTTTTCTATATATTTTTAGTTGTCCAATTAATTTCTTTCTATTTTTAGTAGAGACGGGGTCTCGCTCTTGCTCAGGCTGGTTTCGAACTCCTGAGCTCAAACAATCCGCCCGCCTCGGCCTCCCAGAGAGCTAGGATTATAGGCGTGAGCCACCGCGCCCGGCCACCCCAAATATTTTTGATCTGTGGTTGGTTGAATCTGTGGATGTAGAACCTGTGGATACAGAGGGCTGACTATACACATAAATCATGAAACAATGGGTAAGAGCATAAAGCTATAAGACATGTGCTTCCAACCATCTCTCCCCACATACAAGATCAGCTGAGCTATAAAAATGGACTCCCACAGGCCTACTTCCCTATTCCAATTAGTCCACTGTCTCCCCAAAAAAAGGGACATCAAATCTGCAGGGTTAGCAACTGAGAACAAGTTGTCCTTTTATGGAGATTTATTATTTTGAAGTCAAAATTTAGCCCTAACTGAATGAATAGAACAGAATCAACCCAAGTCTAGCCTTTGTAAGAAGCCCAAATTGAACTCTGGAAACTGGACTGTCACATGAAGGATGTACTGAACACATCTCCATAGCAACTTCTTTTTTCCTCCTTACCATCTCTTCTTCTCATATTTTTCCTGAAGAAATTCCTTCACCTTCTGAGGATCCCTGGAATCTGGTACTAAAGATGTCCGAGCATCAAATAGACCTAGCCATATCTTCCTGCAAACCTAAAAGAATGAAGTCAGGTGACAAAGGAGTTGGAGCAGAAAGCATGAAATACAAAAGATACCATTTCCAATTTATTCATCAATAAATATTTATCGAGCACGGATACAGTGCTAGGATCTGGGTATACCTACAAACCAGACTTGATCCCTGTCCTCACAGAGTTTATAATCTAAAAGTCATAGGTCATACTTTAAACAAGTAAAAATAAATTTATAATTACATCTTATGACATGTATTGAAAAAGGAAAATAGAGGACCACGAGAATTATTTGAGAACTAAATTAGGATGGGGGTAGGGTCAGGGAAAATTTTCAGAGCTCCAGTTTCCAGGGCATCCTCCAGAGGCCCATGATGGCACCCTCTAAGTAAGCTAGTCACCTCTAAGTAAGTTAGCTATGGGTACTGCTAACACCAAGGATGGCAACTTCCAATTAACAGATTTAGCTGGGGAAAGGGTTTAAGTCACTTTCAAGTAAATGACATAGACTTAGACCCTGGTTGTCCAGGCTCAAGTCAGCAGAGCTGGCTCCACGAGATCTTACTCAGAGGGGCTGGCCTAGTCAGCTCTGAAAGCTCCTCAGCTGGAGCTCTACCCATTTTCCCCTCCAGCGCCCAGGGGCCACCCCCTATGGAGATATTGCTCCTTCCCTTGATTCCCCCAAAAGAGGCTCACACAAACCATAATTTGTATAACTAAGATTCTGTAAATATACAAATATATATAAGAAATCTTACGTACTAAAAAATTAAGAGAAACTTGATCAAAAAAGAAAACTATAGGGTTTCTCTACAATCATGAGGCAAAGCTCTACCTACAGATAGGGCAACCACAGCCTTCTGACCATTCCATCAGTGGCAGCTCACCTCATTGCCACGAGACTGCAGGAATACTACTTCAGGTTCAGTGAAAGTTGTCATGGAGATGGACTTGACACGATGAGGAGGGTTCAGGCCTCTCCTGTGGGAGAGAAATAGAGAAGTATAATGCAGTTAGCACTGCAGGCTGTCTATGGGAGGACGGGGAGGGAGAAAGGATAAAACAACAGCATATAAACTAAGCTCAGCTAGAACCCCCCCACCTGAAGCTACTTCCTAATTCCAGGAAAGAAGGAAAACAAGAATATTTTGGAGGCTTCTTATAAAAAGATAGGCAAGAGAAAGTCAGGAACATATTGTGATTCCAGTCATTCAGGAGAGGGGCAGAGCCTACCCATCCAGAAGCTTCCTCTAGCCTGGCTTAGATCCCGACAGTTTCAGTGTTTAGCCTGCAGGCCAAGGGGGTACTTCTGGAACTCAACATGTGACCACTTCCCATTTCCTGTTTTATCACTGTTTTAGACCTGCAGCACATCTCCCATGATCCCAGAGCCCACGAAAACACAAATCCCTTAAGCATGAAGGAAGGCAAAAACGAAGTCCCATGACTATTCCTGATAACTCAAAGATAGGATTTGGTGACAAAAAACGGAATCTCTAGGCCAGCTGCCCCTACTCTTATCTACACATAAGTGTGGAGTGGCAGTAAGGATGGAGAGGGTCCCTCTCTTTCAGGAAGCCATCTCTGGGGAAAGAAATACTCGATTTTCTTGTTTCTAGACCTTTCAATAAAGCAGGAAGAAATCAAGTTCAACCATGAGATATGAGACTGGCCTGGGCAAGAATATATGTCCTGTAGTGATGCTTTTGTGCCTGTTCTGTAAGTTCTGTTAACTCCCTAGGAGTCCGTTTCCGCCTACAGAAACCCTGTGGAGATTACGGTAGAAAAGAAGGTGTCCTTACCCCCACTCAACTGGTCTCCAGAGTGTTCTAACACAGGAAACTTGGGGCTAAGCCAGGTAGGGCTTCATAAGTTCCTCTTTCCTTGCGCCTTAAGTTTTACTCTATCTAGACCTACTGCCGTTATCAGATTAAAACAAAACTGGCCAAAGCAAAACAAATAAACTAGACCCTGGGACCAGGAGGAAAGAGTCTCAGCTGATTATGCCTCTTCAGACTTTTCGTCTCATGGAAAAAATGGGCAATTAAAGATGTTAAAATGAAAGTAAATCTAGAATAGGGTCCTGGCTGATGCCTCAGGAAAGCAAAAGGAGAAAAAAGAGATCACAAAATTTACCAAATAGAAATCCTAAAAATTCATAAAGAAGGTGGGAAAAACACACATTCATGCTTACCACATGCACACAGAATAAAGGTGCTCGTGCCAAGACTGGGAGAATGGCAATGTTCCTGCTAGTGTAAGCGAAGGCAGTGGGGCAGGGAGTAGGGGGCAGATGACACAGTACAGAGTGAACAGCAAAGTTGCAGCTGTCCTTTTGGATGGCAGATTATTCGTTATGGGATTCTAACAAAGGACACAACACTGGAGGGAGGCTGCAGTGGAGGTTGTTTTCAGCAATTCTGCTGCTAGACTTTTAAGCAAAGGGTCTCAAAATACCCTTATAAAAGACAAGCAATATCAAAGAAGACTGATGCCTCAAGGAAAGATAAGAGCAGGGAAAACCAAAAGCAGGGCTTTGTTACTACATATCAAACAATAGCTCTTAAACTTGATCTGCCCTGAAGACTTTCTTCCGATCATATTTCAAAGATAGTCCAGTTTTCTCTCCTAAAGCCTCTCTCGCTAATGGCTTGGTTTGGTTTTGCTTTAAATTCTAGCCAGGCTGCTTTTATACTCTTTCCCTTGCTCTTTCTCACCTTAACCACTGGCCTTTCCCCCTCAGAATGTCAGGTGTTTCTGAAGTCTGGCCAGACCTCATTGTTCCTGTGATCTCAGAGGTCCTCTCCTTCGCCTCCTACTAACCAATATTTACTTTGCCAAAACACAGAGCTTTATGGTAGGCACTTTGGGAGATACGAAAATTATAGGATCTAATCTATCACCAGGAGCTTAACAGGAAGGACCCAGGAAGGCTGGACAAGGATACTTCTCAATGCAGTAGGGTGCTATTCAGTCCCGCACTGTTGGATCAGGGAGAATGTGATTCCAGGATGCAGCAGTGGGGGAAGGAAGAGAAATGGTCATGGCAAAGGTAAAACGTATTATGTTTACACTAGAAAAATAGATTCTAAGCCTATCATAAAAAGGTCATTGACATTTCCTGAGAGGACAACCAGGAACTGTTAGCAAAGTGTAAACAGGGAGGTGTGCTTCCTTGTTAAGGGAGGGGGAGGGACTCAACTCAGGAATCAATCAAGACGGGATGCTTAGAACAACAGAACTTCTTATGGCTGAGCTTAGACTGGAATTTTTTTTCTGGAGGGTGGGGGATGATAGGATGATGGGAAGGCAGAAAAAATAAGAAGGGATTCAGGTGCTTTGAGCCAAATGAATCTGGTGGAACAGGATGTTTCCACAGCATGGTACAAAAAGCATTGCTCTGACCTTGATGTCTGTAGACTGGATTATGTATAACCAGAGCCACACTTTGGGGGCAGGGAGAATTCTCTACAAGGCAACACTCTGCTGCCCAAGAAGAGGGCCTAGTTACGTGGCCTATGAGTCAGAGTATTTCTCTCTGAATCACAGAGAGGCCATGACTGGCTGAGAGAAACATTTTAGAAACAAGAGCCCCTCTCTTCCCAGTAGCTGAGATCAAATGGTCTAGGTGTGCTGGGTACATACCAGGGTCATGCAATGGGCCAGATGTGAGTCACTGGCCTGGAGTTAAACAGACACAACATTCCAGCTTACACCCAGTCTCCCTAACGTAACTCTCAGGTTCTTCTCAAGAGTAGTAAGAGTTGGTAGAAGGCACTGCCCTTCAGTTATCACAGCAAATTCATTTTGTTATTTCTAACCAGGAGGCGCTGTGAAAATGCAGAGTTAAATCTATTTTCCTAGAAAAGGGCAAATTTTTCCAACTGCAAGCAAGTACAGCTGGGTACAGTGGCTCACGCCTGTAATCCCAGCACTTGGGAGGCCAAGGCAGGAGGATCATTTGAGCCTAGGAGTTTGAGACTAACCTGGGGCAACACAGCGAGACTCCATCTCTACAAAAATAAAATAATTAGCTGGTGATATGTGCCTGTAGTCTGACCTACTCAGGAGGCTGGATTGCTTGAGCCCAAGATGTGAAGGTTGCAGTGAGCTATTATGATCACACCACTGCACTTCAGCCTGGGCAACAGAGTGAGATCCTGTCTCTTAAAAATAAAAAAACAAAAAAGCAAGTACATTACTAGGACTCAGGTCTCCAGCCAGTCATGTTGTTTTATCTATTTCAGTTTCTTTTTCACAGGGCACCTAAAGGGCATTTGAAGTACTCTGATTATTCAGCCAGTGAAGCCAGTTTTTTCTGTAGATACTAAAGTCTGCCCAGTTCTCTCTCCCTCTTTCCTCCTTTCCTTTGATCTCTGATTCCTTCTTTTTTTTTTTTTGGCAAGGATGAACTCTTTGATTCTATTAAGCATACTACTATTTCCACAAATACCATACCTTTTGTTTTTCTGTGGCGATCACCCTCAAGCTGGCCCAAATTTTTGCTTCTATCTTGCTTCATAAAAGCATCAAACCTGCTTAGCTGCTCAGATAAGAAGGTTCTGCCAGGTCAACAGTGGAAAAAAACCAGTTCCACCCAGCACCCAAGTTCTCTTATTTGTGCCAAATATGGACTTGGGAATTCCTTGCCTCTGAATATTTGTGTTCAAATTCATACACTCCAGATTGTGTTTCTTTGCTCCTGGGATTCCACTTCTCTGCCTCTGAGCAGGGTACAACTAAACCAGTTTAGTTTTTATCTTGGACTCAAACATTACCAAGTCTCTATTAGGAACTCTCAATAGTCCCTAATAGGAAAGCTCTCCTATTACCATGCTCCAGGGTCAATTTCACTAATTTCAGGGAATCTCTTCCTAATCTAAATTCTGCTTCAACCCATTTCCTTGGTTCTTCCTCAGTAGCTATGATAAACTGCTCCCCTGATTAGACCCAGGTAGAGTCCCGATAATATCATTAGCTGTCCTCCTCTTTAGGCTCAATCTCAATCCCATTTACTTTTCCCTTCCTCCACATCTTCTTCCATCCCTTTGGTAATTTATTACTTCCTTAGGGGCTTGTCAAGGGGTTCATGGGCCCCTTATGATAAAGTGCCTAAATCTGTAATTTAGTGAGACTCTGTCAAGCTCTGCCCAGCAGAGGTAAATAGGAAAGGTGAGGGAGGAGGGGACGAAGGGATGGGACTAAAATAGGGGCAAGGTACATGTGTATCTCTCTAACCAAGACAAATGGAAAAGTACTGAATTATTGAACAACATACTACACCTTTCCTTCCATGGAAATAAAAATGCTTCAGCTAGGAACCACTACTTAGCAAGTCAGACAGGGAAACTAAGGTAGAGGCAAGGTAGGAACTTGTCACAAAAAAAGAGCTGTCAAGCACATCTCTTGACACCCAGCTCAAAGCTCTGCCCACTTTAATTCTGACTCTCATTATTACAGTAAAGTTGGGCAGAAGTAGAAGAGACAAGTAACTGTTACTGAGACCTGATAGATGACAGATTAAAGGATGGACTGAAACAACCAGGTCAAGGAAGCATGTCACACTTCGCTGAAAAAATTGGGTGTGAAAGTTAGTGTCCATTCTCCATCTCTGATGTCAGTGAGCTCTCAGGCCTCAATGTCTGTTTTCTTTATAAAGATCAGTGGTTTATCCAGAGAGGCATTCAGGCAAACCAGAATAAGAAAAAAGGCACTGCTTTTTTTGAAGGCACTGCTTTTAGTGGCAATCTTTACCCCATCTTAAGATTCAAATGGCAGATTCATCCTCCATTAGAAGAGCTGGAAACGTAACAAACAAGCATATGTGTATGTTGGGGAAATTAAACAGATACATATCTAGGTTAAGGAAATTAGGTACTGGAAGAAAACCAAATGAATAAAACTAGGTCAAATGTGGGACCTACAATTGTGGCAGTACGTATGTAAATTTAGAAATAGCAACTAGCAGTGTCTCCCTGAGGCCCTCACACCAATGCTGTAGTTTTTTGCTACAGCTGAGAAAATATTTCTCATTAAAAAAGAGAAAGTGAGAATGAGCTCATACATGCTGGGATGAAGGCATAGTCACACCCACCCACCAATATTAAAAAATGTGTATTGTTCTTCAGATCTTAGGAAATTCTTTGGCTGGAACGGTCAACTTCGCTACATCAGCCAATTCGGCCAGCTGGGAACTCTGGTAATTCTGCTCACTGCCCCCAGAAGACTCCATCCGCTTAAGAGGTAGACATATTTGTAACACAGTGAACAGAAAACTGGCCTTTAAAAATAAAGCCATACTACTGTCTCCTTTCTCTGGCTATGGTGCTAAGTATGATATTTCATTTTTTCCTCAATATCTTCTTCTTTTTTTTTGAGACAGAGTCTCCTTCTGTTGCCCAGTAGAGTGTCATGGTATCAGCCTAGCTCACAGCAACCTCAAACTCCTAGGCTTGAGTGATCCTCCTGCCTCAGCCTCCCAAGGAGTTGGGACTACAGGTGAATGTCACCATGCCCGGCTAATTTTTTCCATTTTTAGTAGAGACAGGGTCTCACTGGTGTTCAGGCTGGTCTTGACCTCCTGACTTCAAGCAATTGAGGCCACCTCGGCCTCCCAGAGTGCTAGGATTACAGGCGTGAGCCACCATGCCCGGCCCTCAATATCTTCTTCATTTTAACAAAGAATATTTCTTCTCTTTGCATCATATCTCAATAAGAGTTCCCATCATTCCCTAACCCATACTGAGCTTTATTTTACTTCATAGCATTTATCACTACCTACAATTACATGTAGAATGATTTATTTATAGTCCATGGCCTCCACTAGGATGTAAGCTACGTGAAGATGGGGACTTTGTCACCACCATGTCTCCAGTGCATAAAACGGTGTCTGGGGCTTGTTAAGCACCCAATAAATATCTGTTTACTGACTGAAATGAATGAATGTGCAGGCTGTTGGCCTACCACAATTTTCACTTTCCACTAACACAAAATCCTAATTTATGCGCAATCAGCCATGTGGATTGAAGATGCTAGTTGGTCTACATGCCACCACGGAGCCATGCCTACCTACTGTCTGCTGGACTGTGTGTGCTCTCTCCTCACTTTGTAGCCAGTAGTAAGCATCCCCCGCCTTACACATTCTGCCTATGGCCCACTTACCAGCTCCCAGCCCTTCCCGCAGTAACTCAAAGGGACACAGGTAATGCTTTGTTAAGACTCCTTTAAAAGGTTTATATGCCTTGTCCTTGTTTATGCTAACTAGAACTCCAACTAGCAAATAAGAAATACTACCAGAACCCAGGCAGATAGTCACAGCCAGGGAAACTCCAACTTCCTTGTAGAATTTCTCCTGATATTTCTCTCCTTATAAGATCAACATGCCTTCAGTTCAGCTTCATGTATTGGCCTAACCTCGTGATCCTTCACTCTCCTCTCATTTCCTGCTAACAAATGGCCTAACTTCTCATTTTCTAACCACCAAAATATGTTCCCTGAAGTCTGCCACCTCAAGAATCACTCCCTGAGTGACTCTCATAATGCTTTACCAAAATACTAAGCAAAAATGTCTTTTCTAGGTTTTCTTGAAATCAAAAAAGGACTAGCAGAGTCTTACTACTTGGTCCCATGGGAACTTAAGTTCCTAAGGAGCTAAGACCCTACCTAGTCTGAGGCACATACACCCTCATACTGAGCCAGTCCTCTTGGGGTACTTCTCTATTAAACTAATCAATCCCAAACCAACTAATCGATCCTAACTAATCAATCAGCCACCTCCATCCAGTGTATGCCAGATCACAGGTATTTGACTTTTCATTAATGAGATCAACAATAGTGACCACAGGGAAAAAATGGTAAGGTTCTACAAATTGTGCACTGATATTTAAGGAGTTATAATAACTTTTATAGCAAAAGAAACCAGGTTTTTAATGTGTCTCAGATCTCTTGGTCTTCCTTCTGTTCTGATTGAGAAACATTCATTATAGAAGGGAAATGTTATCTGTGGGATACTTTGAGTTTTATCTTTCATGCCATCACCACTAACCGTGGGAATGAGTTAACATTCTTCCCTAACATTTTCTTCCTAGGACCTAGCTCTGATAGACCATCAATTTTATCCCCCTGCTTCCCTTTACTTCTCTGCAGACTCTAATCAGATTTTCCTTTTCATAACTGGATCTTCAGGAATCTGCTCTTTCTCTTTCTACTTTATACTATAAATACTCCTAACTTTGCTCCTTCTCTCCTCAGAATATTTGTGCCAATCTCAAGTCTCTACTTTCTTGCTTTATTTGAGTCTCTATCTCAACTTATGACACATTCCTATTTTGGTTCTAAATCATTATCCCAAGAGCCACAAAGGCTTTTACTTAGACCAAAGTCAAGTTCATCCTTACAATCCACAAATGAGGTTGATCAGAACATAGAAGTTTGGCAAAGGAGGTAAAAATCCAGTGGAGAAATAATCCCAAACTGTGTCTTAAGAGACCTGGATCCTCACTTCTGGTCTGCCATGATCATAACTAATATAAAACAATAAATGCTGAAAACAGCAACCCCCATATGGCATTGGATAAGTTACTAAACCTCTCTTTGCTTCTGTTCTCCCATCTGTCACAAGAACAATATTGCTTGCTCTTTGGCTCCTCAAGGTATTAGAACAAGGAAAGCTTTCCTTGTTTAAACAAAAAAAAAAACCAAAAACAACAGTATCTTAACATAATGCTAAAAAAAAGTCAAAATAGATGTCTTGAGCAAAAAAAATAAACAAGAAAACCCAAAAAACAGAGATCCAGTCCTGGTATCGGATGTTAATCATGCATTTAACCAAATAGTACCTTAAGTAGGGAGTAGGGAGGTTACTATATAACCAGAAATCTGGGCTAGAACTGTGGCTCTAAATTAGCTCTGGCATGACCAAAGACAGTGCCAGTGCCAAGCACAGCATTGCAGATTATACCACGAGGCCCCCCTACCTCCAAACTAGAAAGAGTTTACCAGATGCTACCACCAGGATCCAGCCATGGCAACAAGGAGCTTAAAGGTGTAAATGATTATACTTAAGGATGGCTTGCCAGATTCCCAAACCCTTGCAAAAGTTAAGCCCTCTACCAGGGTAACCCATTGGCTCTACTCTCTTATTTAATAGATTTCATAAGTCTAGCAACTGGGTAGCATTCCAAAGCCCTGAGAGATTAGGATCTGCACCTGAACTCTGGACCATGGCTCCTTACCTTTCACTATCGCTAAAGGCTGTCAGCCTCGGTTAATTTACCTATTTTCAACTGATTTCTGCATCTCACACTCCAGGAGGGACACAAGCCACAAGGTAGAAAGGTACTCTTTCATTTTGAAGCCAGCTTTCCCTACCTCTTTCCTTTTTGCCTTCCACCTACATACACTTCCCTTTAAAAGTGTATGTCATTTTCTGGCCCTTTAAATCCCCACACCCCACCCCGCCCCACCCGAGTTCCCTTCAATTCTCCACACTTTCTCCCTCCTCACTTGCAGTTCGCCTCGCCTCCCTTGGGGAGTTTCTCCATTCCTCTCCGGGTGTCCTTCTTCACCTCCACCTCCCCTCCTCAACACGACTCCAGTCTCGTCTTCTCTCCACTTCCCCTTCCCTTACCCACGACACCTCTGCAGCAGGCGACCCCCTCACGACAGCCGGCGCGCGTCTCCTGGCCTCCCCGCCGCCTCCCATCTCGGCTCCCTTCCCTCGCCCTTCGGAATCTGGGCCTCCCGGCCCGCCCCAGGTCCCCGTGGTCCCCCACGCCGACTCTCCGCCTCTCCTTCCCGGTCCTCCCCCCGCGCCAGTCTACTCACAGGAGGCCGGAGCAGGTGGTGCAGACGAAGCTGCCCACGGTGATGTCCACGTAGGTGACCCCACGCTGGGCGCACTCGAAGCAGTGGCGATTCCCGGCCTGGCTGCAGCCGCCTAGCTCCCGCACCCGGCGGCACCACACCTCCGAGGCCGCCTCCGCCTCTGCCTTCCCCCCGCTGACCCCGCCACCCGGGCCTGGGCCCTTCTTCGCCGCCATCACCATCGCTGGAAGTCAGCAACTACGCCTTCAACCACTGCCGCCTTCCCGCCTCCTCTTACGCCTCCGCACACCTAGCTCCCCTGACAGAAGCTCCGGAGCCGGTGGCCTCCGCGCGATACTCCACCACCCCCCGACCCGCGCTGCCCCGCCTCGCCTGTTCTGCACGGTGATTGGCTGGCCTTCTCCCACCTCCTCACTCTGATTCGCCCGACCTGGGACGGCCCCCGGTTGCTGGAGCCGCTAACACCACGCCCCACTGGCTTCAGGCCTCAGGCCTCTCCCATTGGCCCGCAGAGATCCGGGCCGCGAAGACTATGTGTGCCCTCTGCTTGTCCCCGCCCCCTCTCGCCACAGCTTCCACTGCGGCCCGCCTCCCTGTTTGGATTGGTGAGACCTCGGCACTAGGGCTCTGGACGCTAACTCTAATTGGCTGTCAAGGCTGCAAAGTTAGCGCGCGAGACAGAGGAGGTGTCCCGCGCATGTGCAGTTCTCGTCCTCCCGTCTGATGTCGTTGATTCCCGCCAAATTTAAAAGGCCTGCTCTAGACTTTGCAGAGTGGCACACAAAGAAGAGAAATGGCCTTATGAGAGGCTGAGGAGGAGGGGGAAAGAGGGGAACCCTCAGAGGAGAGATGGAGAAGGAGTGCTTTATTAGTGCCATTTCATTTACTTCTACCCACGCCATAGGTGGAATCCTCATTTTACAGTTTTAGGTTCAACGACTTGCAGAAGATCACACAACAGGTATGTGGCCCAGGATTCGAATTTGAGTCTTCTGACTTTAGAAATCCTGCTTTTAACCACCACACTAGGTGGAATAGTATTCAGTGATTCATTTTACACACACTTATTGAGTGTCGCTAGGTTTCAGGAGCATTCTAGACTCTGGAAATACAACAGTGAACCCAAATCCCTATCTTAGTGGAGCTTACATTCTAGTGGGGGGAAGCGGACACTAAACAAATTGAAGAAACATCAGTTAGTGATAAATTCTATGCAGAGAACTAAAATCAGGTCTTGGAAAAGAGAACGACTTGTTGGGTACTTTAGATTGATTGGTGAGGGGAACCATTTCCAAAACAATGACATCTAAGCTGAGACCTAAATAACAAAAAGGAGTCAGTCATGAGGATCTGAAGAGGATCATCCCAGACAGAGGGAGAAGCAAGTGCAGAAGCCCTAGAGCAAGAAGCAGCAAAAAGAAAGCCAGAGTGGTTGCAGCATGGTAAGTGAGGGGAGAGTGGAGGGGATTGTCCTGGAGTGGGACCAGGTCATGTAGAACCTTCCAGACTTTGGTAAGGAGTTTGGATTTTCTTCTAAGTGTCATGGGAAGCTATATTAGTTAGATTAGGTCCCATTATGATGCAAACCCCCACACTATGTCAGGACCCAGGCTCCTTCTATCTTGTTGCCCATAGTGCATTAGCTCTACTCCCAAGTTCACCTCATGATCTTGTCTGCTTCAGCCTTCATGCCTGTTACAGCAGCAAGGAGAACCTTCTCTTTTTAAGAATATGCCAGGAAACTACATGCAACCTCACTGGCTCTCATCTCACCAGCCAGAACTTAGGAATATGACCATATCTAGGTGTGAGGAGGGACTCTGGAAAGTACTCTTTATTTTGGTCTTCCATGTGCTCACCTAAACTTCAGAGATTCTATTACTGAGGTAGAAGGAGAGAAGAGCTATTAGGATAAACCCCAGTCTCTTCCACAGAAGCTGTTATAAGAGTTGTAGCAGGGGCAAAACATGATCTGATTTTCAGTTTTGAGAAAAAAAAATCATTCTGTCTTGGGACTAGGGCAATTAATAAGTGGTTTTGGCAGTCTAGGTGAAAGATGATGGTGGCATAGAACGAAATGGTTGAAATTGGTTGGAGAGAAGGGGATTGATTCAGGGAATGTTTTCAAAATCCACAGGACTTGTTAATGGATTAGATGTAGGAGGTGAGGGAAAGAGGAACCAATGGCAATCTCTCTGGAGAAGTCCTGTCCAATAGAATGTTCTGTGATGATGGAAATGTTCTGTATCTTACTGTATAATATGGTAGCTACTAGCTACATGTGGCTGTTGAGCACTTGAAATGTGGCTAGTAAAACTGAGAAGCTGACATTTTTATTTTGTTTTATTTAAATTTAAATAGCCACATGTGGTTAGCAGCTACCATATTGGAGAGGGTTTCTCTAGATTTTTGTTTTGAGCAACTGGGTGGCTCATGATGCCATTAATTGAAAAAGCGGGGACTGAAGGAGAAGGTTAGGGGATGCTGATAGCCAGAAATCAGCATCTTTATTTTGGACATGTTGATTTGAGATCCTTGTGAGGCCTCTGAGGGGTTGATCATGTAGGCAGGTGGATGTATAGTGTGGAGTTCCAGGTGAGCCCAGAGCTGGAAATGTAGGTTTAGGAAACATCGGCATATAGGGGTTATTTAAAGCCATGAGACTGAATGGGGTTGCTTAATTATAGCATGTAGACAGAGACTGTAGGAGGGCCCAGAAATAAGCCCTGGGCACCCCAATGGGTACTTTATTCTCCCTCTCCAGTTATCACAGCCATAGATATGTTTTAGCATCCCTAAAAGAAGGCAACACCAAATCACATCCAGATGTGCAGATGGGACATCTCAGCCCACTTTATTATTATTATTATTTTTAATTTTAATTTTTAGATCCTGCCACTTTAAACATTCCTTCTAAATTTCAGAGTTCACAATATCTAAAAGCTGCCCATTTCTCCTATAGTTCCTCATTAGCCAAGGGTTATTTCTTATCATCTTGAAAACTTGAGCAAATTGATAACTTTAGCTATCACACATAGTGAGTGAAAAAGATTAGGATGTTACTAGACGATGATGGTTTTCCGTTAATTTATGCCACTGGGTGTGGTAGTATGAGGGCAACCAAAGGACTCATCCTCCTCCCATCTCTACTCCACCCAGCCCATATCAGGGAGTAACAACCCCGTTTCCCCTTCATAATCAGGGGGAGCACAACCAGCATGGGGACACCCTTTTCTGCCATTGCCCTGGTGGCAGGAGGAGTCTCAAATGGCAAGGCAAAACCTTTATTGGGCTCCCTGGTGAGAACACCTCACCCTTGGGCAGTGAAGTCTGAAAAGCATGAGTGACTTAAGGGATGGGAAGTAAATATTTTTAGAGAGAAAAGTAATAGTGAGAGCTGCCACCTCCCACCCCAACCGTTGGTTTCTGGACCTCTTCTACATTGGCTGAGGGAGACTTGGCACTGCATTTCAGTCCCTGTTTGGATCACATACCACTATCTGCAAGGGAGAGTCCCAGCTTCACAGGTGTGGTCTCCTAGATAATGCTAGATCTGTTTTCAGTAGACCATTTCATTGTTCTACAAGGCCAGCTGCTTCTGGTAGATGGGAAATATGATAATGGCCCATGGCTGGCCAACTGTCTTATTTCTTTCACAGAGAGGTGAGTTCTTGGTTGGAGACAATTTTTTTTGAACCACCTTGTGTTATGCAAAGTCAGTAATTCCAGGGATGGTGAAATAGTCCAAGACATAACTTACAGGGGAAAAAATCCACATGTAGAATAAACGTTTCTTCCAGAGTATGTAAGTCACCTCACCCTCTATGACAGAAGGGATCTGATAGAGTTGACCTGCCACCAGATTTCTGACAGATTCCCAAGAAACCTGGTGAGCTAGTTAGCCCTTGGAATGGTATCCAGCCTCCTACTGAAGTCATTTATTGTTTATAACACTTTTTTTTGAGTTGATTTTTGTTTTCCAGGTAAAGATCACATTATTTTCAAGTAATGATAGTTTTAACTTCTTTTGATTTTTTTCCTAATTACTTTCTCTTGTCTAATTAAATTGTTCGAACATCCAGAACAAGTGAAATAATAGTGGATATCTTTTCTCATTCCCTACTTTAATGGGAATTTATCTTTATTTCCCAATAAAGCTTGATGCTGACTTTAGAGTTAACATAAATATATTTTATCATATTAAAGAAGTACCCATTTATTCCCAGGTTATTTATTAGTTCTACTGATTTTGTTTTCTAACTTAATTTCTGATTATTAGTTTTTCTTCCTCTCTTAGGTTTATTTTGTTATTCTTTTTTTATTTTCTTGAGTTGGATGCTTACTTATTTTATTATAATTTTTTGTTTATTCATTTAAGGCCAACAACATGAGCACTGTTTTAGCTGTATCTCATATGTTTTGCTATATTGTGTTTATTATTATTTTCTAAATATTCTGCATTTTGATTTGTATTTATTGACTGTAGAGGATTTTTTTGTTTTTTAAGAGAACAATAAAAAATTTTCAGGTGTTAAGGACATTGTTCCCCCTTGGTTTGAATACTAATGTCTAGTTGTATTACATAGTGGTCAGGGAATGATGTATGTACTAGTTCTATTTCTTGAATTTAATGAAGATTTCTTTTTAGTCTAATAATCAGTCAGCTTTTGTGAATTTTCTCTGAGTACCTGAAACTAAGGTGTATTGGATCATATCAGACCTACCTTATTAACTATGCTGTTGATGTCATCCAACTCCTCACCTATTCATCAAGCTTTTCATAACGTGAGGTCCCTCTTTACCTTGCTCCCTCAGAAAGAGACCGCCTCATGCAATGACTTGCCTGTCTGATTGTCGTTCAGCCCCACCTCTTCTGCTTCTCAGAGCTAAGCGAGGTCCAGGAAGCTTCTGTTGCCTCTCCCTCTACTGAGTTCCCCTATCTCAAACACCTGAAACAGACCCTGAAATGGCTTCTGCACTTCATGGGGTACGCCCTTCACACTTGAGAAATGTATTTCACTACTTTTGAGATCTGCAGTAGCAGTGATCTTGCCTCTCTCTTCCCACGTGCCCCTCTGCTAGAACTCTACTACTTTTGGCAGCCCTTCCACTTGAATTGTGGTTTGAAGTTTTAGCTAGCTCATTGTTTTGCTAAAATTGGGATTTGTATTTTTGTTTCTTCTTCCCATGGCTCTTGGTGGTTAAGAAAGTAAAGAGGAAATGTTGCCTTTATGCTACCATCTTCAAAATGGAACTTTCTATGTGCTCTTAATATAATGCTTAGGCAGTCCACTTCTGGGTGGTACCACACAGACCATCTGTAAACCTGGCTATATTTTTCTTTGCCCTT